GTCTTCCGTTTATGGAAGTTGTATTAATCCACGTCAAATGCCTCAACTGCCTGAGAATAACGATGTGCTTTACAGTACCAGAAGTTGAGGAGATCTCTACTGAGGGTGCTTTTCAACAAGATTCCAAAGGGAGAAAGATAAAGCTACAAAGGATGCTAAGCATCACTGATATTGAGTAGTTCAGTTAAGCTTTGTATTTCCGGGAATTCACTCTGGAATTTAATAGACGACTGACCAACAGACGTAATTTATAAATTTTTTTTTTGTTTTTTTTTTTTTGGTTTTTTTTAATCAAATAATTGAACTCGGGGAAAATTAGTACGAAATAAATTTATGATAAAATAATGGGCTTACCAATGGCTACAGTATAATAGTGTAAATGCATATTTCATAACTACAGAATACCCTATTGTTCCATCCCTTGTTCTCCACTCGTATCCCAACGTCACATACCTATATGTTTATATATTAGGTACTGCACATTTACATGAACATATCATCCCGACATACACCGGTGATAAAGGATCCTCCAGCTAGTACACGTTCTCCTGTCAAGCTACACGCTATTGCCAATAAACAATAATTTACACACTTTTTTTTCATTATTTTAATGAAAAAATTTTTAAATGCTGGCCTAGTATCAGGAGCATTCATTAAAAAAAAAAAAAAAAAATTCTGTTCGGGATTCGAACCCGTGACCTATAAGTTTAATAACAAAAAAATTGAAATGGCGATATTTCGGAAACTACTTGGCCGATTTTGAAGCAACTTTGTAGGTTAATGTAAAGTAACTGCCCCTAGGTCCTTACAAAATTTCAGGCGATTCTGAGGACCCTGGGGTAAGATGGTCAGGGGAGAAAAATTAATTTTTTGTAAAAAATGACTATAATTCCGGATATTATTGACCGATTTTCGTCAACCTAACCTCAAATTCTTTATTTTAGTGCTTTTAGTACTCTACGAAGTTTTTTAAGGATCCGGGGTAAGTTGGGTCACTAAAAAACTCACTAAAATCATAAAAAATGAAGTTTTTTTAAGGAATTATAAATATAAATAGAAAGTATCTGGGTGGTATGAAAAAAAATACTTTGCCGGGATTCGAACCCGCGACCTATAAGTTTAATAATACTTAAATTTGAAATGGCGAGAACTCAGAAACTACTCGGCCGATTTCGACGCAACTTAGTAGGTTAATATAAAGTAACTACCCCTAGGTCTCCACAAAATTTCAAGCAATTCTAATGACCCTGGGGTAAGATGGTCATAGTAGAAAAACAATTTTTTTTTATGTAAGTTGTTTGTAGTATTTAGAGGAATGCAAACTAAAAAAAATGTAGTACCTCGGAATGTAATTACAACGGCGGATTTAAAAATAAATAATAGGAGAAAGGTCGCTTGCAGACTGTCATAATTCTCATGATTACGCCGGCAAGCAGCTAAAGGACCGCCCATGTTGCGTTCGCGTTTTCCTATTATATACTGTACTAGTTATGCCGAGTTTATTTCTCGGGAACTCTTGTATATGAGACAGGTAAAATGGAATCTCGTACAACCATCAACACTCTACAGTCCACACTCTGCAGTTTAGCCAAGGCAGTAATTCATGTTCCTGCTCTTTACTATGCATTATAAATTATTATAATTTCACCTTTTTTTCCTCCATTAACCTTTTTTTTCCTGATTCTTTAACTTCACTCTCATTTACAATTTTTCGGAGGTATAATGCCGTAAAAATGGCGGCTCAAGTATCAATATTATTTTTATTAAAAAAAAAAAAAAAAAAAAAACACCTTTAGAACAGAGTATGCACTCAAACTTAGCCAAGTCCTCACTACTCAAATGTATTATAAAAGTTTTCTACGAAATCGATAGCAGACTTTTAAACTCAGGAGTAAATTTCTTTATTTTTTAATTTTATTCAACAGAAATACTTTCCCGGTGATTGACGAACACCGGCTGGATATTTAACTACTTACTGCCAGAAAACTTTTAAATTTTACACTACCAATATAATAAACCTCGGCTTAAAATTTTCTAATGAAAGCTCACGGTAAAACCTTTTTTAAAAAAAAAAAAATAAAAAGGTACCGCAGCTTTAGTCTTTAATTTTTAAAAACTTTTTACATTATTTACAACACAATTGTATTTTAATACATTTGCATTATAATTGCTCTATTTACAGCTAATTGATTAATTAAGACTGTTGTTTTATTTATTTATTTTTTTTTTTAATTTTGTACCTAGGCAATTATTAATTTTTTTAAAAAATACACCGAACACACAACTAGCAATTACTACTCTATCGTGTATCCGGTATTTTTATTTTCATTATTGAAGCGCTCGGCAAACAGACAAACGAACAATCAAACGAATAAATGGACATGAAAATTTTTTTAATCAAAGCGCTATAACTTTTAGAGTAACTCGACACTTTAATAGACTTTCAAATTGCCACTTCTTTATATATAAAAATTCTCTAATTGAAAAAAAAAAAATCTGCCCGGGATTCGAACCCGCGACCTATTAGTTTAATAATAAAAAAATTAAAATGGCGATCTCTTGGAAACTACTTGGCCGATTTTGATAAAACTTTGTAGATTGATGTAAAGTAACTGCCCCTAGGTCCTTACAAAATTTTAGGCGATTCTGAGAACCCTGGGGTAAGATGGTCAGGGAAGAAAAATTAATTTTTTGTAAAAAATGACTATAATTCCGAATATTATCGACCGATTTTCGTCAACCAAAGCTCAAATTCTTTATTTTAGTGCTTTTAGTACTCTATGAAGTTTTTTAAGGATCCGGGGTAAGTTGGGTCACTAAAAAAACTCACTAAAATCATAAGAAATGAAGGTTTTATAGGGAAATATAAATAATATAGAAAGTATCTGGATGGTATGAAAAAAAAATACTTTGCCGGGATTCGAACCCGCGACTCTTAAGTTTAATAATACTTAAATTTGAAATGGCAATATCTCGGAAACTAGTCTGCCGATTTCGACGCAACTTTGTAAATAAATGTAAAATAAGTGCCCCTAGGTCTCCAGAAAATTTCAGGCAATTCTAAGAACCCGGGGTAAGATGGGCCGTTCGAAATGAAAAAAATCGGACGGTATTTGGTGTGTGAGTTATCCTAGGGGTGAGAGGTCACAGATCCGAGGCAGAGGCTTCGAACCGCGAAAATTCCTCGCAACCACAACCGGGTTTAGGCGGAAGGGACACGAGAAACGAGAAACGAGACACAATCACCGTGTAGAAACCAACATCCACAACTCCATGGTTGCTCCATTGTCTGAGCATTGTGCCGCTGTTACTAGTGTCAGTGGCATGGGGGTTGTAAAGGCTCGCGGTCGGGGTTTGTATAAGGGTGATTCATTTTATCTCGAAAAATATCAGTTCCTGTATCCTGAATACAGCACCCTCTGTCTCTGTATATGTAAACCGAAATACCAGAGAATTTTATGCGTTTATGCATAATATTATTATTGCTGTTGTTATTATTTTGGTTGGGTTGTTTTTAACCTTAAATTTACAATAGTTACACGGTTAATTTATTTAACATTTTTTCTCAGCTACTCAAGTAATGAGGACCACTAATTTATGATAATTACCGAGGTCACCACTTAAATATTCAAGAATTAAAGCTAAAAATATAACAATTCGTTTTATATTACTGTTATAATTATGAATGCTGTTTTACTTTGGAATACATTATAAAAGGGACGAACTTTTTAGAAACTAACTCCGGGGCTAAATGGGTCACCGTTTTCATTTAAACTTCAAGAGTTATTTTAACTGGCTCCTCGACAACATTACTTATTCAAACGCTACGACAACAATCACCCGAATCCTTTATTTCATTGAATTTTAAACTTTCTTCCACGTTAATTACATTTTTCTGGCCTGACCATCTTACCCCAAGGTCCTCCGAATTGCCTGAAATTTTGTAGAGACCTAAAGACACTTACTTAACGTTAACCTGCAGAATTACGTCGAAATCGGCCAAGTAGTTTCTGAGATATCGCTATTTCAAATTTAAGTATTATTAAACTTATGAGTCGCGGGTTCGAATCCCGACAAAGTATTTTTTTTTTCATATCACCCAGATACTTTCTATATTATTTAAATTTCCCTATATAATCTTCATTTTTTATGATTTTAGTGAGTTTTTTAGTGACCCAACTTACCCCGGATCCTTAAAAGACTTCATAGAGTACTAAAAGCACTAAAATAAAGAATTTGAGCTTTGTTTGATGAAAATCGGTCACTAATATCCGGAATTATAGTCAATTTCTTACAAAAAATTAATTTGTCTCCCCTGACCATCTTACCCCAGGGTCCTCAGAATCGCTTGAAATTTTGTGGAGACCTAGAGGCACTTACTTTACATTAACCTACAAAATTACGTCAAAATCGGCAAAGTAGTTTCCGAGATATCGCCATTTTAATTCTTTATTATTAAACTTATAGATCGCGGGTTCGAATCTCGGCAACAATTTTTTTTTTTTTTTTTTTTAAAAAAATTCTGCGTCTTTTTAAGGATGTTTTTGATCAACTGAGGTAATTTGGACCGGTTTAATCTATTCTCTAACCAATCTAAAGTCAGTGTTTCGTTTGTATAGCGTTTTTTTCGACTTTTTTTGGCTTTTTTCGTTAAAATCAGAACGCTAAATTACATTCTATCAAACGAGACAAAGGGAGCGTAGATGTAGCGAGTATTTATACGTCTGAGGGTGAATAGAGTGCCGTGTATTCATCGGGTAGTAGATCGCCACCACAAACATCACGACTGGCGCGTTTCGGTCATTAATTAATGCGACCAGTCCATTATATCCTCTTGACAGCTTTCACGCGTCTACGTGTTCAATCTGTTTCCAATGGATCATTATGCAAATTGTCCGTGGATTAGACTAATGCTAGTCTACGCTACGGGTAATAATTATAATTTTGTCAATCCGCCGAAGTGGTTCCGTTTGGTTATTTATCGGCGTCTTCGCTAAAGATCAATAGACTCTGGGAACAGCACGATATAATATTGCATGGAGATCGTTTCTGTAAGCGTGATCTATCGGGGCGCCGTGACCCGGTCGCCCCCAGAGCTTCCTCCATGTGTCAAAATGCCTGCGACAGCTCTCTTGTTCCAGGCGTTTTTCCTCCTGTAAAACAAAAAACACCCGTATATTTATGCCATTTGTCAAAATTTTTTTTTACTGACTGGACTTACGAGTATACGCTCTCGTTTCCGGGATATCTGCTCTGACAGCGCCGCTGTGTAGTCACGATTCTCGATATTCAATGACCGGTGGCTGCAAGTGAATAAGGATTCATTTTTTAGTTTAAGTGCTTTAAAGTCGGAAAGGAGTGGGGGTAGAAATATTTTTAGGGGGGAAAAATATTGCTTGAAGAACAAGCTTTCAGATGGCACCAAGGTCGTTTTGATTAAAAATTTTTAAGCCACTTTTCAAAGCTCCTAAAATTGACTAAAAAATTGAAGGAATTTTTCATCTTTATTTTCAAAGCTATGTAACTTTTGTTCCAACTATTGGGAAATTTTTTTAGAAAATGGCAATTAAATCTTGAAGATCAAGCTTTCAGATGGCACCAAGCTTGTTTTGATAAAAAATTTTTAAGACACTTTTCAAAGCTTCTAAAAATTCTCAAAATTTGACCAAGCTATTGAAGGAATTTTTCATCTCAATTTTCAAAGCTCTGTAACTTGGGTTCTAATTATCGGAAAATTTTTTTAGAAAATAGAAAATAAAGCTTAAAGAATAAGCTTTTGGTTAATACTAAATTTGTTTCAATAAAAAATTTTTAAGACACTTTTCAAAGCTCCTAAAATTTTCCAAAAATTAAGTAACCCCATCAGAAAAAATTTCAGATTTTATTTTTTAAAGTCTTGTAACTTGGGTTCTAATTATCGGAAAATTTTTTTTGAAAATGGAAAATGAAGCTTAAAGAACAAGCTTTCAGATGGCACCAAGCTTGTTTTAATAAAAAATTTTTAAGATACTTTTCAAAGCTTCTAAAATTTTCCAAAAATTACGCAAGCTATTGAAAGAATTTTCAATTTTTATTTTTGAAGCTCTCTAACTTGGGTGTTAATTATCGGAAATTTTTTTTTGAAAATAAGCTTGAAGAAATAAAGCTTGAAGAACAAGCTTTCACATGACACCTAATTTGTTTTAATAAAAAATTTTTAAGACACTTTTCAAAGCTGTTAAAATTTTCCAAATATTGAAGAAATTTTTTATCTTCACTTTCAAAGCTCTGTTACTTGTGTTCTAATTATTGGAAAATTTTTTTAAAAAATAGAAAATAAAGCTTGAAGCACAAGCTTTCAGATGGTACTAAATTTGTTGGGATAAAAAATTTTTAAGATAATTTTCAAGGGGCTTAAAATAAAAATATTTGTTCCGGTTTGTAAAAAATGTCAACATTAAAGCGTGATTTAATTTTTCCGGATAAAAGAGCGGTAAATACATGAAAGGGATGTAATCTATTTAAAACAAAAGAGACCGGAGATTAATGAAAACAACAATCAATTTTTAATTAAAAGATAAAAAAGAGGCGGAGTGGATAGGAGAGTACAGTTCGGAGTAGAATTGGTCCAGTTGTTAACATTGAGGTGGTATATTGCGTCGGTTATACACAACGAGGAATAACAGAGAGCTCGATCCGAGTGAGTCAATATCATATAACAAAGCATGTCTCTGTTGTGACAAATTGCTTGGGGTTAGTATTGCACTCAAGGGACACAACTACATTACTGGTAATCAACACATTGATCCAGATGCATTCAGCGGTCACTTCACCTGCCCCAGCTTCCCTCTTCTCTCCAACCCATTGGGAAATGATATTCCATTTGGTTAAATAATATAATCCCTTTGTGTCTAACCTTAAGTCCCTCCGCATTCGGTCAAACAACTTACTGCCCGGGATAAACACCGCTTTATTGTTATTAGTTATTACTTTTGAGCTTCCGGGCACTGTGTACACGGGTTCCACTGCGAAAAAAATGTCTTCGGCTAGGGGAAAATTTACCTCAGAGTGTCCGCTTTCCAAAGGTGCTAGTCCTCTAGGTGTCGGATAATATTTCGATGCTCTTTTCAGCACCCCCAGGGAAAAAAAAGGGAAAAGACGGAAAAAAAAGGTATCGCGTTGCGATGAACTTTGAAGTGGGATAACGTGGGTTTTAATTATCAGAAAAATTTTTTTAAAAATGGAAAATAAAGCTAAGAGAACAAGCTTTCAGATGGTACCAAGTTTGTCTTGATAAAAAATTTTTAAGACACTTTTCAAAGCTTCTAAAATTTTCCAAAAATTGACCAAAATATTGAAGGATTTTATTACCTCAATTTGTAAAGCTCTGTAACTTGGATTCTAATTATCGGAAAAATTTTTTTGAAAATGGAAAATAAAGCTTGAAGAATAAGCTTTCAGATGGCACCATGTTCGTTTTGATAAAAAATTTTTAAGCCACTTTTCAAAGCACCGAAAAAATTTTGATAGTCACACTTATAATTTTGTTGAAGGTAATGTGATAATTAATATCGACAAAATCCGTTCTTTGGAACAAGAGATAACGTCGACGTAATAGTGGAGTGTATGATAACCTATTAAGAGGTATATCAAGAGGAGTTAATTTAAACGAGAGTGTAAGTGAAGTAGAAAGGCCGTTGTAGATAGAGAATAGATGATAGGGATCTCAGCACTATTGAGAGTGTATTAATGAGACGGTCTGAGCTCTGATAGGACCGCTAATGGAATATTCCGGCAGTATGTATCGTTACTCAGCTGCTGCGCCACATTGTTTATGATATGCTCGAACGTCTCTATTGAGAGTTCTCCTCGAATTACACCTGGGTAATCCTATTAATCATATTCTAATAGTTAATAATCGAACGGTTAATCAATTTACATTAACACCGCATCGTTTATATTTATTATTGTTCGTTATTAATTGATATTGTCGATAGTGACTCAAGGTACCTTGTTTATTGATTCACATGCCATTTATTATTTCACCAATAATTTCTATGATAATATTATTATTATTGACTTTTATAATGATATTCATTATGTTGTTGATGATATTCATCATAATTGTGATAATTATAGTCATTATAATATTTATTAGGCTATTGGCAATGATATTGATGATCAATTAATGAATATAAAGATATTCATAATGATAATTATGTTAGTGATATTCATCGTGAATCATGATATTTATAAAAATATTCATTATATTATTGATGATATTCATTAATAATGATAAAGATATTCATCGGATAATTAATGATATTGGTGATATTCACCAAGATATTTATAAAGATATTCATCGTATTATATATGATATTCATCATGGTAATGATATTGGTGTATTCATCATGATATTGATAAAGATATTCATCATGATAATGCTATTGGTGATATTCATAATGACATTTATGATATTTATCATGATATTGATAAAGATATTCATCGTATTATCGATCATATTGATATTGGTGATATTTATCGTGATAATGATATTGGTGATATTGATAATGATATTCACGATATTCATCATGATAATGACATTGGTGATATTGATGATATTCATCATGATATTGATATTGGTGATATTGATAATGATATTGATGATATTCATTATTATATTGATGATATTCATTATTATATTAATGATATTCATTATGATATTGATGATATTCATCATGATTTGATATTGATGATATTTATCATGATAATATCAATGATATCAATGATATTCATCATGATAATAATATTGGTGATATTCATCAATATAATTATATCGATTATATCTACCATGAAGATGATATTGATGATATTTATCATGATATTGATAGTGGTGATATTCACCATGATATTTAAAAAGATATTCATCATATTATTAATGATATTGATTATGGTAATGATATTGCTGATATTCATAATGATATTTTTAAAGATATTCATCATATTGATGATATTTATCATGACAATAATAATGATAATAATATTTATTATAGTTTTGATGATATTGATTATAATACGAGTAATAATTAAATTTTTGATTGTAACAAAATTGAGCTGTCGGTACTAATTGTTAAACTTTTAATTAGTGCAAATATTAATTATGTTTATTTGTACGCTGTACATACCCTATGTGACCATTCTGTCTACCTCGCGCATGTGTACTCGTATGTGTCTATGTGTGTAGATGTCTGTATTTGCCCACAGGACACAGAGAGTAAAGGTAATTTGAGTAAGACGGGAAAGATAAATTGCTAATTAATTTCAAACCGGGCAAATAGAGTTCAATATTCAAACAAAACTTTTTCTAATTATTCCAATCAACAATTGTTCATACCAACATTTTGTTATTATAATTAAGTTAATGAAAGATTGAAACAAACCTGTCTAAGATATATCCAGGACGCGTAGCGTCTGTGGTGATATATTTAATAGGATTTGAGTGACATTTACGTGCTGTGAGCAATGGTACTAGCTCAATTCCGCCAGTCAATTTATAATCATAAGGAGTATTTTTGCACTCATTCTGAATTGATGTATATGGTCTGACTCCATCCAACCTCCGCGAGGAATCAGTTATATCTGCGATTAATAAAATATCATTTAAAACGTCATCCACGATACGCAGAAGAGACCATAGAATATCAGTGATTAATTATTTATACAATAATGTCTGTTATTGCTAAATTAAGAATTGTTAAATTGTAATAATACCTGGTCTAGACTTGGCGTCAAAAAACTCTTCCATTGATGGGGTTAGTTCTCTCTGATTGGTGGTGGTAAGTCGATGAAGAAATGATTTTGTTGTCCATCCCTTGAAAATAATTATTATCATTATTATTATTATAATTACAATAATCATGGAGTTATTCATGATGATATTGATGACATTTAGTATGATAATAATGTTAATAAAATTTCTCATAATATTGATGATATTCATGATGATGATGATATTTATCATAAGAATGATATTAATGATATTTATCATGATAATGATATTGGTGATATTTATCATGATAATGATACAAATAATATTAATCGTAATAATGCTGACGACATTCATGATGATGTTGATGATACTCATCATGATAATGATATTGATGATACTCATCATGATAATGATATCGATGATATTCATCATGATAATGATATTGGTGATATTCATCAAGATAATTATATCGATGATATTTATTACCATGTTGATGATATTGATGATATTTATCATGGTAATCATACTAGTGATATTTACCGTGGTAATGATATTTATGATATTCATCATATTATCAATAATGAAATTTATAATAATTTTTAAAATCATGATAATGATATTCATAATAAAATCAATAGTGCACTGAGAAAAAAGTATTTTGCTACTAAGGATATTTATTTTGATAATCAGAATACTTGGTATTGTGCTACTAAGAATACGTGGTATTTTGATTATCAAAATAAGTATACTGATTATCACAATAC